CAAAGGGACTCCCTGTCAACAAACCGGTTTGGCCTCATGGTCGCGAGCAGCAACGGAAAGCAACGGCTTATGGAAAGTCAAGTACCATATCTGACATTAAAAGTGTTTTAATAGAACTCCCAGAGCTGACCGGTACTCGTTGCAAAACTCCCTGCGTCTATTTCGACCATTGCGACGTCCAAAACACTCCACCGCTTTAATTTAGAATTACACCGCAACAAGTAAGGTTGCGTTTGTAATAGGCAAGCCGTTTTCAAAAGCGTTGTCAGGGCGTGAAAAAGTATATTTGACTACATGCACGACTGCGGGTGAAATTTAAATGCGGCGTGATCTCCGGTAAATGACTGTTTTTTCCCATGGCGCTTTGGCGGTAAACTGCCCCCGACCGACACCGTGCCTAACGGGAATTCCAGGCTCTGCCGTTCCGCTTCTGGGGTTCAGAGGCTACACTTACCGCTACACTATCCCGTGCCACTCACACGCGTGCACGACAACTTCCTTAAAACTGTTTAATGTGTTTAAGCGTGGAAATGACAAGAGTGGGAATTCGGATAAACAACCGACGGTCGCAGCCAAAGAGCCACCGACATTGATTCCCCCGTAGAACTCAAGATGCAGTTTGAGACACTCACCCTCTGTGGTAGACACGTCCAGCACGGTGCTAAAGTAGAAAAATAGACGGGGAAAAAATCGGTCTTCAGCTTTTCCTGCACCAGATGGCTCGCTTCGCCGACGCCGGGATGTCTGAAGTCAATTTTACCTGAACTAGTGAGACAGCCTCAGTTCAGCGGTCTCCAATGTCACAGATCGCGTCCAATGCGAAGTCATGTAAGAACAGCCAGCCGGATGCTGCGTTTAAGGCTCGTGGGGAAAAGAGGCCATCCTTATCCACCTGGACGATGTCAATACGCCGTTGTGTTGCTTTCGTATCAACGGAGATTAGTTTATCACAGCTGTTCACACACGTCGTACCGTGTTGTGACGTCGGCTGAGTTGGTTAGCGTGAAAAATTAGCGAGTTAGCTTGGTGGAAACGAGAACTCGTTAAACGTGAAGGCTTGCCAGTGTGGGGAAGATATTTAGCTTGGCACTTCAGTCTTTCCAAATAATTTGTCAGTATTTT